CTTTTGTTTGCTTGAAAGTGGAAGAACGAATGGTATATAAAGCTTTTTCGTAGGTTTCTCAATACTTCAGCTGTGAATTTCAGTAACATGGGCAAAAGAGTTAATAGTTGTCATTCAGAATTCATTTACTTGAAGGACTATTTATGAAGCCTGACAACACAGCACCGCCACTAACTGAAAGACACTTTATGAGTAAGGTTCCACCGTCTGATAAGAAAATAAGACCACGGAGAGATGGTGTGCTGTTTGTCAGATGCACAGGAAGAGGAAGGCCACTGTGCAGTGGTGTGATATGTGTGACATGGGAGTCTGTGTGGAGTACTTTGAAGTACCACACCAAGCTAACTTTATAACGTAATAAAATCCTGTTCTTTCATAACTGTGCTAAAAGTATTTTTAAAATATTTAGATATTAATATTCTGATTCTATGTACTCTTTTGAGTCCCGCGCCGTAGCCGCGCGGTCTGAGGCATCATGCTTCGGACCGGCGATACGGAATGCGCGCTGGTTCAAGTCTCGGGGGAGCAGAAATTTTCTCATGAGCTTTTGACCGGTGCCAACCTAGCATCGTGAGGAAATTGGGGAGCTACAATCCGGTCAGGAAAAGCTAGCAATGGCTGGGGGTTCGTCGTGCTGACCACACGTCACCCTCTATCTGGTTGGATGATGGTTCACCTCTGCTTAGGCATGTGAACGTGAGGCCAGCAGTCAAGTTAGTCGGCTTTGGCTCTCTGGAGCTGTTACGCCACGGATTTAATTTTTTTAATGTACTCTTTTGAACATAGTGTCCAAATTATAAGGAAAAAACATTTGGTTTCAGAATTTATTGCAGTTGAAAGGAACTGTTGCATTTTCAGAGTTTAATGTTTGAATATCCTCTGTCACCAGAACTGGGAAAGACATATGGAGTACTTCAGGTATAGATCCATCTGTCTTGCAAGTGTCCCATATGCTGGGCTTCGGGCATTTTGCTAGTCGTGTTTCGATTATCCGAACATATTGAAAAATACGTTAAATTTTGTTTTACCAGTATGTTTTATACACAGCCCCATATAACTTTCCTTGCATTTTACGTGCACTGTCTTCCTTGTAAAATTAGTGTGACAATTCAGTCTGGAAGATCGAAGTAGGATTTGAGGTTCTGACAGCATTGAGTATGAAGATGGCTGTCTTCTGGTTTGTAGTCTGATAGAAATTTGCAGATGTTTCAGGGGTCCTTGCTGCCTCCATCATAAATGCTATGAGGTGCCCTGATAATAGACAACAGAAACCTCTGAAATGTTGGTAATCTTCTAAGGAAGGTGGAATTTGATTTTAGTGTTGGATCCAAAAACTATCTTAGTTATTCAGTGCTTTAGTTTTATAAAGAATGCTCTAAGTATTTATATGTTATAAGATATGTAACTTTATTCACCTAGCTATATGTATGTAAATGATTCTATTACTGTGTTTTATGATATTACGTAAAGTTGTCAATATGGCGTACAGCGTCCTCACATTTCAGATGTAGGAGACAGCGTACAGATATGGAAGGTAAATGTGAATATGTTCAGTCACAATCAGCTGATATGAGAGTCCCTCACCTTGGGAATACGGCCACAAATCCTATGCCGTGAAGATACACGGAGGCACTGGAACTGGACAGATTCTTTGGAACAGCCAAGACAACAACTGAACAACTGGAAGATTTGAACTTTGAATGTTAGGAGTTGATGTAGGATATGTGCTCCGGACAGGATTTCTTGCTGAATCATTTGGGGGCGAGCGCCGGCTCCAACACAAATGAAATCTAGGTTAAGGCACCTGTACAGCCTACTGTTGTGTACTTAAAACAGAATATGGGATTTTGCACTACGGACAAGTTCTCAGATCTTGATGAGGCACAGATCTTGTGGTATCGAACAATTCTAGAAACGCTATGACAGACAGATGATCACTGTTTTAAGTCATATGTTTTTCTTTTCCAGCTTGAAAAATTCATCGCTGATAATCGTGAAGCTCTCGGATCTGCGGCAGAGTCCGGTACGAATGCGGTAGAGGCTGCTAAAGCAGACTTGTCATGGACGAGTACCCACAAGGACGGAATTATCACTTGGTTAAGAAACCAAGTAGTACCAGGTGGAAATGGTAGTGGTAATATTGCTATAAACATAATCATAATTACTGCTACATTCCTTGTAGCTGTGTGTACATAATGTCCATATTTGTATTTATAAAGTAATATGTATTTTTGATGGATATGCAAAATTTGGCAGTCTTTTAATTCACCTTACAGATCCACCTTCTTTATATTATGAAATGTAGCATATTTTCAATTTTAGACAGGGTTTCTCTACATTAGATGATGTGATGGATAAGAAAGGTACTTCAGTTAATTTGCGTATGATAAATTAATATCTGGCTGTAGAGGAAAAAATCTGTAGAAGTACTTGGAGCAAGCAAAAGTTCCCGGAATTGTGGTATAGCACTGTAATGGTAGGACATATGGCAACGCGTACCTATTCACCTTCAAAGTAGGACCCTTGCGCGCGCGCACACACACACTTGCTCCATCGATCCTGCATTGTTGGAAGCACCGGCGGAAGGCTTCGTTTGGAATCTTCCGGAGTTCGGCCGTCACATTCGCTTTGATGTCCTCCATGGTTGCGAAACGCGTCCCCTTGAGGCCCATTTTCAGAGTAGGGAACAGCCAGAAGTCACTCAGAGCGAGATCCGGAGAGTATGGTGGTTGGGTGATGACGGGAATGCTTTTCTCAGCGACGAATTGCTGCACAACCAGCGATGTGTGGCTCGGTGCGTTATCGTGGTGGAGAAACCTCCCTCCCTGCCACTTGTCGCGCCAATTCCTCCGAACTGCTTCGCGCAACCTCTGCAACACTTGCATGTAGAAATGACCCGCAACAGTCTGTCCAGGCGGTACGAACTCGTGGTGCACCACAACGTCGATGTCAAAGAATGCCATGAGCTTTCCTTGGACCGGACGAGGCGTGATTTCTTTGGTC